CTTTAGCCCCCGCTTCCTTCTCGTTTGCTGCCCTTGCTGAGATGCGCTCCCGTCTTTCTACCCCCCTCTTCCTGCTGCTGTCCTTGACTGCTCCCCTCCGTTGTCTCCTCCTCTTCCTCCTCCGGACCCCGCCCGCCCACCTCTGGCCTCTTCTCCCGCCTCCTTCCCTCCGTCTTTGCTCAGTTTACCCATGCCCCCTAACCCTGACTTTGCTAACCCTGATCCCGACCCTGATATTCTTTAACGTGCTCTGTTGCTCTTTCGCCTTTGTTTCTTCCTTGTTCTCTGTTTTTGTCCTTACTCTTCTCGTCGATGTCTATTCTTCAATAGAACGTTCGAGGTTATTACGCCAATTTCGTCGATCTCCAACTTCTGATTTCGCGGTTTTCGCCCCTTTGTGTCTGTCTCCAGGAGCCGATACTTGGTGCTCGTCCTGGTCGTTTTCGTGGCTATTCCTTTCTCTCCCCCCCCCCCCCCCCCCCCCCCCAGCCGTTGCTGGGGCTTCTAATTCTTCTGCTCTCTTGATTCGTGCTGATGTTCCCTTTGTTCCTTTAATTTTTCCTTCGCCTCTCCATTGTTCTGCTGCTCGTATCTTTGTGGGGAAATCGTACACAGTTTGTTCCATTTATCTCCCCCCGAGTGTCCCGCTTTCTCTTCCTGATTTGAAACACCTCCTAGACTCCTAGCCAGAGCTTGTGCTCCTGCTGCGTGACTTCAATTGTCGTCATTCTCTTTGGGGTGACGTTCTGACGAATACCCGGGGTCGCCTTCTTGAGCCATTTCTCCTCTCTTCTTCCCTGTCTCTTCTGAATTCTGGTGAGCCCACTCATTTGGACTCTCGGACTCGCACCCATTCTTGTCTTGATCTTTCTCTCTGCTCTTCTTCTCTTTACTTAGATTTCACGTGGCAGGTTCTTGATGAAAGCCATGGCAGTGATCATTTCCCCATCCTTGTTTCCTTTTTCTCTTTTTGCCCTTCCCTCTCTTTCCTTAGGTGGCAGTTTGCTAAGGCGGACTGGACCCTATTTACCCTCAGTGCTGCTCTCTCTGACCTCTCCCTTCTGCCTCTCTCTCGCGCTCTCCTCCTTTTTCATGACACTGTCTTCTACGCTGCCCTCCGCTCTATTACTCGCTCTTCCTCTCGGGGTCCGCGGAAGTGCGTTTCCTGGTGGAATGCGGACTGTGCTCGGGCTGTCCGCTGTAAGCGTGCATCCTGGAAGAGGCACCGTCGTAGGCAGATGACCGATTCTTTTCTTTTCTTTCGGAAAGCGAGTGCGGTGGCCCGTAGGGCCATCCGTACGACTAAACGTGAATGTTGGGCATCTTATGTCTCAACAATTACGTCCGAAACTCCTCTGCCCCAGATCTGGAAGCGTATCCGCAAGATACGCTTAGATCTGGAAGCGTATCCGCAAGATACGGCCGTCCTCCTTCCACCGTAACCGGCGGTGGAAAACAGCTTTGGCGACGTTGCGTATTGGCCATACTAGCTTAACCCATGGTCACTTGATGGAGCGCCGCCCTGCTCCTTATTGTCCTAGTTGCATTGTCCCTCTTACGGTCGTGCATGTCCTTCTTGAATGTCCTGACTTCCAGGACGAGCGTGTGTCTTGCTTTCCGACCGCCCCTCGCGGTCACCTGTACCTCAATAGAATTCTTGGTGACTTGGATACTTTTGATATCGTTCGCCTTATGCGTTTTTGTTCTCGTATTGGCATCCTTGGTGATATTTAGCACCCTCTGATTATTTTGCGCATTTGATGGTGCTACATAGCCTTCCCGGTTTGGTGCCTTCTTTTGATAATTACTTACTTACTTACTTATTTGTACGTTCAGATACTGACATGTAAGCATATGTTCGGAAGAGATTTGCATCCTGGTCGCAACTTTTTGATTACAGAGATGGAGATGGTTTGTAAGATAAAAGATTGCAGCTCTGTAGGGAGACATGGATGGCGTGTGTGTGGAGAAGGAGCGGTCGTAGAGAGGGTGTGGGGCGGATATGGGGAGGATGTATGTGGGTGGAGATGGGGACAGTGAATCTGGGGGTAGATGGGGAAAGTGTATGAGTTGATATGGACCAGATGTATATGGGTTGTGGGGGATGGTTTATTTAGAGGTAGATGGGGTGCGACGAGGGCTAAGGGAATGGTGAGCGATGAAGGTTATGGGGATTGGAAAAGGGGAGGGGGGTGGAGTTGGAGAGGGGGGTGGGGGGTGGGAGTTGGGGAGGGGTGTTTGGGGAAAAGGCTAGTTAGTATTTCGAGAGACAGGAAGGATGAGTAAGAGGAAGATGGGGAAGATATGGATTGCTTGTTCAGGATTAAGGTTTATTTGTTGGTTGTTCAGGGCTAAGGTGTACTTGTTGGTTGTTCAGGGCTAAGGTGTACTTGTTGGTTGTTCAGGACTAATGTGTACTTGTTGGTTGTTCAGGACTAACGTGTACTTGTTGGTTGCTCAAGACTAATTTGTACTTGTTGGTTGTTCAGGACTAATGTGGTGTACTTGTTGGTTGTCCAGGACTAATGTGTACTTGTTGGTTGTCCAGGACTAATGTGGTGTACTTGTTGGTTGTCCAGGACTAATGTGTACTTGTTGGTTGTCCAGGACTAATGTGGTGTACTTGTTGGTTGTTCTGAACTAATTTGTACTTGTTGGTTGTTCAAGACTAATTTCTACCTGTTGGTTGGTCAGGACTAATGTGTACTTTTTGGTTGTTCAAGACTTGTGTACTTGTTCGTTGTTCAGGACTAATGTGGTGTACTTGTTGATTGTTCAGTACTAAGGTGTACTTGTTGGTTGTTCAGTACTAAGGTGTATTTGTTGATTGTTCAGTACTAAGGTGTACTTGTTGGTTGTTCAGTACTAAGGTGTATTTGTTGGTTGTTCAGGACTAAGGTGTACTTGTTGGTTGTTCAGTACTAAGGTGTATTTGTTGATTGTTCAGTACTAAGGTGTATTTGTTGATTGTTCAGGACTAAGGTGTACTTGTTGGTTGTTCAGTGGGCAAGTGTTATAACCTTAGTAAAGTTCTTGCTGGATATATTAACCACACATAATGGCAACAGTATTGGGATTCAGTTGTCTTGCTGTGACTGTTGCTGGAGACAGTTCCCACATGTTCACTTCCGCTAAACATCCTGGCTGGCAGTATATCTTGTAACTTGTATCTTATCTAATCTTTCTTTACTGCACATGTTCCCACATGTGCAAAACATTATTAAATGTTTTGTGAACTAAGAAATTATTACCAGTTGCCAGAATTGTGTGTGATGTTGTTGTTGTTGTTGTTGTTGCTTCGCTTCTTTGAGTTGTGTTGCTGTTGGTATTGTTCTTGTTCTTGTTATTTTTTGACAATGTTGTTGTTCTTGTGTTGATATTTTTTTTGTTGCTTTGTTACTCTATTGTTGTTGTTGCTTTGTTACTCTATTGTTGTTGTTGCTTTGTTACTCTATTGTTGTTGTTGCTTTGTTACTCAATTTTGTTTGTTTGTGTTTGTGACTGTTTTTTTTTTTACTCTATGGTTGTAGTTACTATTTGTTGTTGTTCTTGTTGCTCTTCGGTTACATCGTTTGCTGTTATTTTGGTATTCTATGCTTATTGTTATACTTTTTTTTTGTTGTTGTTGTTGTTGCTGTTGTTTATGATATGGTTCTTGTTTCGTTGATCAGTGGTTGCTGTTGTTTTTATTCATATTGTTGCTATTGTTTTTATTCATATTGTTGCTATTGTTTTTTTTTTGTTATTTGTTGTTGGTGTCTTTGATGTTGTTTTTGTTTAATTGCATTTGTTGTTTTGTTTATTTTTAATGTTATTGTTTTTGTTTTTATCTCTTTTTTCTTGTTTTGTTCAGTTGTTTTTATTGTTTGTTGTTGTGTTCATTTTAATGTTTTTATTTTTTCATACTATTGTTTTTGTTTTCATTTTCATGCTTCTGTTTTTGTTATTTTCATGCTTTAGTTTTTGTTTTTGCTGCTGTTGTTGTTTTCGTTTTTGTTATTGTTCTTTTTATTTTTATTGTTGTTGTTTTTGTTGTTTTATATGTTAATGTTGTTATTATTGTTGTTGTTGCTGTGCTGCTGTTGTTGTAGTTGTAGCTGGTGACGTTGCTGGGTTTATTGTAGTTGTTATTACCGTTATTGATGTCTTGTGGATTCTGTTGGTGTTATTGTTGTTATATCTCCAGGTCCGGTGCTGGAGCCCCGAGGGGCAGCTCGTTCTTGCCTTCAACCTCGTTCTGACAGTTCCTGCGACGGCGCTGGAACCAATCGTATTGGCGTTTGCCATTCCATTGGAGAATTTTGGCTCCGTGGAGAGCGGGGGGGGGGATGACCTGCTGCATGGGTGACAGCTTTACCCCCATATCAACCTACCCTGGCTTTGCGCCCTGGAGAGGCCACTCCAGACCGACAATTAGCGCAACTCCATAGTCTCCTGAGACTGGTGGATGCCTGCTACTACTACTATATCCTTTCTTGTTTTTGTTAATGTTGCTGATGTTGTATATTGTTGTTTCGCCATGACAACAATCCCTTATATATAATGGAGAAACTGTAAAGCGCTGTTCCTTTTCACACTGTAAATGGAAAACACAGGATTTATTCGTCTTATATAAACCCAAGACAAAACTTTGGTTGAAATGAGTGACACTGAAAAAGAATTAACAATCAGTTGCATAGGGTAATTTGAGTGTGTTGATTTGCAGGTATTACTGAGCATTTCTATTTCCCTAAATATTTGCTGTGAGCCATATAATTAAATTTGACCACCCAGCAGGTGTCCGATGAACATGCATTGTTGATCTACAGTGAAAACAACACCTCGCAAAACAAGAGAAGGGAGGAGTGCCCTCCCAATCTGCTAGTGCCTCGAGGATGGAGAAAAGTACACGTGCAACCAATCAGTGTCTCAATCAGTGGGAGGGAGAGAAATGAACAAGCAACCAATCAGCGCCTCGGGGAGGGGCGAAAGTACATGTAACTTGGCAGGGAGAGAAGCTGGTTCCCAGTCAGCGCCTGCCTGCGAGAGGGAGAGTAGTGCGCCGCTCCCAATCAATCAGCGCCTCGACGAGAAAGAACCTTGTATAAACCTTACGTTTCTCATATTTCTGTGATACTGAAAAAGAAGCGAACTACACATGTCGCCCGTTAATCGGATGTTGAAGTAGTAAGTAAAAAATATGGTAGTGAGCGGAGCTCCAGTTAGGTTAAAATATTGTGCTTCAGTTTGTTAGCTGTTCTGCTTTATAGGCTGCGTATTGCTTATACTGGTGTGGTGTTATCCATACAGTTACATACCCTGATGGTTAGCCAAAATATACTTGGTACCTACTGGACTTTTGTAGACCATTAGTGTCAAGAATGTAACAACTCTTGTATATATCTCAAAAAAAAAAAAAAAAAAAAAAAAAAAAAAAAAAAATTATCATGTCACTGTTGGCGTTCAGCTGGAGAAAATTAACTAATTTTCATGTGATAAGATATTGTGATAGTATACCAGGCAGTGTGCTGAGATCCTGTAATACATCTCATGGATACATGAAGGCACGCTAGGCAACGAACAATATGGGCTGTTTTCTTAGTGTGGTGGTCTGTGGGCAGCCCAAGAGACCGTACATTTTCGTTTCGGGTTTATGAGTGATTCTCATATTGTAGTGGTAAACGCCGTTGCCTGGATTTGGTTGTTTGCTGATGTTTGATAGATGCATTAGTATTCCAGTTTATTAATCAATATTACTTAAATGCATTTATAATTATAATTAAAACAAAAGTCAATGAATCTTAAGTCCAGACCTCTAGCACTTGCTCAATGACTGTTAATATTGATTTATCCAAAATAAAGGGAACATTTTGGCAAAACACATTAATATAATCGAAAATCAGTGACATGTGTGTAAAATTAGGTGTGTGGTATAGCAACAATGAAGTGGAAAACTTGTGTTTATATGATAAATATTAACATATTTATGAGTAATTAGCCTGCCCGCTCCCTACAGTACTACAGTATACATGCGGGGGGATTACTTGCTGACACTAATTTAAAAAAAATTAAACGAAGCATTATTATGTAATAAATTAGATTTATGTTTTTAAGATAGCATTTATGGTGCTCATTTGTATACCAACCCAGTGGAAGAGAGTGAGCTGGTACAAGATGGTCTGTACACCCGTGTGGCCAGAGTGCCTGGTAAGGAAAAATGTTCCATTGTTATATCAACATAACTCGTTTTTTTCCTTTTAATAACGACTGTACCCTTTAAATTCTTACCCCCTTCCCGTTCAGCTCGTTGATGCCGTGAGGTGGGCTTAGTGGACGGCTGCCGGAGTGTGATGCTCCTTGGGACAGTCCTATCTCCGTTTGTAGCCTTGTGCTCCTGCTACTGTCCTCTCAAATTTTGCTGAACAGCTTTTCCTTTTCCTTCTGTTTCGTGTTTCTCCCCCCTCTTCTCCTGTCTGCTTGTTGTTTCCTGCCGACCTTTTGCGTGTTTTGGTTATTCCTTTAGACTTCTTCTATTTTGACGCCCGGGTGCTTGAGGAGGAATACTCTTGCACCCGTAGAACTGTAGTACCCGACGTAGAGAGCGAGGGGAACCTTTTCTTGTCAATCCCCCTTTCGTCACTGAACCCGATATAGACGGACTGACGGTTCTTAAGGTGGCGTTTGTGAGGCGTATACTCACGACGTTGGAGGAGTCGTGAGTATACGCCTCCTAGGAGGCCACGGCATGATCGGCGATAGCTTCTAGTTGGGTGTCCTGCCTCTAATTGTGGCTCCATGGTGGGTGTGGGGGCACAATCGTGAATGAATGTTTTGGTTCGTACCTATGTTGTGTTCTGTTCCTCCTTTACCTTCTCAGGCTCGTGTGGTGTGTGACCAAGCCCCCGAGTCGGTCCGTGTTGGAAGACCGGGCTCTGTAGCCTCCACTGCATTGGGCCCCGACCTTGCTCCTCCTTTGGCCTCTCTGACTACTCCCCCTCGGCTCCCCTCCCTCCTCTGAGGTTGGGTCGAGCCCCAAGCTCGCCTCACAAACGCCACCTTAAGAATCGTCAGTCCGTCGAGATCGGGTTCAGTGACGAAAGGGGGATTGACAATAAAAGGTTCCCCTCGCTCTCGACGTTGGGTACTACAGTGGTGATTACCTCGTCCCCTGATACGGCTCCATCTCTAGTTGTAACTACTGCGCCTTTTGACCCCTCTCTCTCTCTTGGGGTTCTCAATGCCGTCCTCGATACAGCCGCACTCGCTCGATTCCTTCCCGTTCTGATACCTATCAAGCCTTTGTTTGGTCCCACTTCATGGGCCAAATACTTTGATCTCCTCCCTCTTGATTCTGCGCCTCCTGACGATTTCTCCCTCCATCGACATCTTGTTGATTCCGTGGATACCTCTGTTACCTTCAACCCTACTCGTCTCGGTACACGTGTCGTTGCTGCTCCTTCTCAGGATGCAGGTTCCCGCTTGGCTGCCTTATCTTGCCTTGGCGAGACCCCTGTTCGGGTCTCAAAGAACGCTCAGTTGAATGCCAGTGTTGGCACTATTCTCCTCCCGCCCTATGTTGCGATCGGTTTTCGGAATCTGCAGGACTGCCACGATGACATTCAACATATGTTCGATGCCCAGGGCCATTTTGTCCTTCGGGTTGACACGTTTACTCGCCCCCCTCGTGGTCGTCAACCCCTTTGGGTTGTGAAGATTACTTTTGATGGTAGGACCCTTCCATCCTCTGTCATTCTTGCTGGTGCCAGGTGCTCCGTCCAGGAGTACATTCCTTCTCCTAGGCTCTGTAACAAGTGCTGGAGGTTTGGGCATGTTGTCCTCCGCTGCTCTGGAACTGTCTTTCTCTGTCCTTTGTGTGGGGGCGAAGGTCACTCTAAGTCAGAGTGCACTTCTCCCCAGGTTCGCTGCCTCAACTGCGATTGAGCCCCATCCTACCTTCTCCCGTGCGTGTATCCATTACAAGCTTGATACAGCCGTCCTCACCTTGAAGCACCGGGAGCGTTTATCTTTTCCTAAGGCGAGGCGCCAGGTTCGCTGGCTCCCACCTTATGCTAACGTCTCTTATGCTCGCGTGTTGTGCTCTTCCTCTCCTCGTTCTTCCACCCTTCCTCAGACTCACAACCGTTTCCGGGCCTTGGACCCTGATACGCCCACTGCCCCCTCCTCTGCTCCTTTGAGTTCTGTCCCGAAGGGTCCTCCTCCTGGTCCTCTGTCTGGGGTTCTCCTTCTTTCTACCCGGTCTGACATGTCTCCTGTGTCTTGTTCCTCCTCTCCCTCCGATCCTCCTTCCCATCCTTCTCCTCCATCTTTTGACTCTCCCCGCCGCCTGTCGGTGCGGGGTGTTGTCCATCGCTCTCCTAACGGTTGTCGTGTGTGCTCTCGTTCAGCTTCTCCTGTCGAGACGCTGAAATTCGTTGCCCGGTACGTAATTGCTGGGACACCGGTCTCTTTAAGTCAGAAGCGTAAGCCTGGCTCCTCTCCTTTATCCTCCCCGGCGGGTAAGAAGGCTTCGCTCTCTTCCTCGGCCCCTACCACTGACTCTATTGCTCCTTTCCCTCCCGTTTCGGTGGTTGCGCCACCTGTTCCTGCTATGGATGTTTCTTTGGCCCCCGCTTCCCTCTTGGTTGCTGCCCTTGCTGAGGTGCACTCCACTCTTTCTACTCCGCCTTTTCCTGCTGCTGTCCTTGAATGCTCCTCTCCGTTTTCTCCTCCTCTTCCTCCTCCTCCTCCGGACCCCGCCCGCCCACCTCGGGTCTGTTGTCCCGCTTCCTACCCTCCATCTTTGCTCAGTTTACCCATGCCCCCCTAACCCTGACTTTGCTGACCCTGATCTTCTTTAACGTGGTGTGTTGCTCTTTCGCCTTTGTTTCTTCCTTGTTCTCTGTTGTTATTCTTTTATCTTCTCGTCGATGTCTATTCTTCAATGGAACGTTCGAGGTTATTTGGCCAATTTCCTCGAACTCCAACGTCTGATTTCGCGGTTTTTGCCCCTTTGTGTCTGTCTCCAGGAGCCGATGCTTGGTGCTCGTCCTGGTCGCTTTCGTTCCTATTCCTTTCTCTCCCCCACCCCAGCTGTTGCTGGGGATCCTAACACTTCTGCTCTCTTGATTCGCTCTGATGTTCCCTTTGTCCCCTACTTTTTCCTTCACCTCTCCATTGTTCTGCTGCTTGTATCTTTGTGGGGAAATGGTACACTGTTTGTTCCATTTATCTTCCCCCAAAAATCTCGCTTTCTCTTCCTGATCTGAAACACTTACTGGACTCCTTGCCGGAGCCTGTGCTCCTGCTGGGAGATTTCAATTGTCGTCATTCGCTTTGGGGTGATGTTCTGACGAACACCTGGGGTCGCCTTCATGAGCCGTTTATCCTCTCTTCTTCCCTGTCTCTTCTGAATTCTGGTGAGCCCACGCATTTGGACTCTCAGACTCGCACCCTTTCCTGTCTTGATCTTTCTCTTTGCTCTTCTTCTCTTTACTTAGATTTCACGTGGCAGGTTCTTGATGATCTCCATGGCAGTGACCATTTCCCTATCCTTGTTACCTTTTTCTCTTTTCGCCCTCCCCTCTCCTTCCCTAGGTGGCAGTTTGCGAAAGCAAACTGGGACCTCTTTACCCTCAGCGCTGCTCTCTCTGACCTCTCCCTTCTACCTCTCCCTCCTCCTTTTTCATGACACTGTTTTGACGCTGCCCTCCGCTCTATTCCTCGCTCTTCCTCTCGGGGTCCACGGAAGTGCGTTCCCTAGTGGAATGCAGACTGTGCTCGGGCTGTCCGCTGTAAGCGTGCAACCTGGAAGATACACCGCCATCTGCCGACGGCCGATTTTTTTCTTTTCTTTCGGAAGGCGAGTGCGGTGGCCCGTAGGGCCATCCGTACGGCTAAACATGAATGTTGGGCATCTTATGTCTCCACCATTATGTCCGAAACTCCTCTGCCACAGATCTGGAAACATATCAGCAAGATAGCGGGTAAGTTCGTTCCCGATGTTTCACCGGTCCTTCACCTCCGTGGTACTCTTGTGGCGGACCCGTTGCAGGTCGCTACCGAACTGGGTTCCCACTTTTCTTCTGTTAGCCCTGGTCTTCATCTTCCACAATCTTTCCTTCTTCATTTATATAAAGAAGGAAAGATTGGGGAAGAATATGAATGCTGTTTTAAACGCGAGGAAAGAG